GAGGGCGTACCATCGATTTATATAAGGGCAATAATATATTCTCAGTCTTATTCTCTATCCCCTTTTTAATGATTCCTAACATCCTGTTTGCCCTTTTGACCGCCTCTGCACACTGCGTGGACATTTTCAGAGAACTATCCACGATGACTCCAAGATCTTTTTCCTGACTTGTTGTAGCTAAATTAGCCTCCATCATATTGTATGTATAGTTGGGGTTATTTTTTCCAATGTGCATTACTTTACATTTATCCACATTAAATTTCATTTGCTATTTTGTTGCCCAATCACTTAGTTTTGTGAGATCTTTTTGAAGTTCTTCACAGTCTGCTTTGGTCTTAACTATCTTTAGCAGTTTAGTATCATCTGCAAACTTTGCCACCTCACTGTTTACCCCTTTCTCCAGATCATTTATGAATAAGTTGAATAGGATCGGTCCGAGGACTGACCCTTGGGGAACACCACTAGTTACCCCTCTCCATTCTGAGAATTTACCATTAATTCCTACCCTTTGTTCCCTGTCTTTTAACCAGTTCTCAATCCATGAAAGGACCTTCCCTTTTATCCCATGGCAGCTTAATTTACATAAGAGCCTTTGATGAGGGACCTTGTCAAAGGCTTTCTGGAAATCTAAGTACACTATGTCCACTGGATCCCCCTTGTCCACATGTTTGTTGACCCCTTCAAAGAATTCTAATAGATTAGTAAGACACGATTTCCCTTTACAGAAACCATGTTGACTATTGCTCAACAGTTTATGTTTTTCTATGTGTCGGACAATTTTATTCTTAACTATTGTTTCGACTAATTTGCCTGGTACAGACGTTAGACTTACATGAAACCAGACTGTGTGACAATGAAGTTAATCAATAAAAAAAACAAGAAGTGTGTTTTATTCTAGTAACACCATTACAGTGGCGAGTGACAGTCTTTTTGATAGTGATATACAGTTAAAATGTTTTTAATACAGCTTAGTGCAATTGTACTTTGCTTATCTCAGGTGATCTTATCATTTGAACAGCTTTCCACTGTAAATTATAAATACAAGAAAGCTATGATAATCGCAAGAACCACATCAAGTACAATATCCCCCGAAAGCACTCTCTAAAATTAACAGTAAAGGTTATTAGACACCTGTGAGACCTTATTGTTATTATCCAGCCACACAACTCAGAACATATAATTGACAGAAAAACTGAAATGTCACTTTACCTTGTGGTGAAATGTGTTTCCACTGGTTTTCCAACTGCAGTTTAATTAAGGTAACAAGCTAAAATTCAATACATGGTGTACACTTGTTTACAAGTAACAAGAAGCTAGTATTGCTGTGTGGTCTCATAGCTACAGGCAGTCAGCTGATGGAGGTGCTGACATCAGAGGCGGTAGCGTTAACTAGCCCTCCTTCCGCACACACGGAGCTAGTAGAAACTCCCCAGCCCCCAGCAAGGAGCACAGCGCTGGCCAGTGAGCTGCTATGGTGGGGAAATGTCTCCGCTACTTATTCTCATTTCAATCCCCTCCTCTCTGAGAGAGAACCATGTTTCTAAATGCACGGGGAACAATGCCCCTATTCATAAGTGCAACCCAGTTCCTAGTGTAGCTGACGTGAAAAATGAAGCAGGCGGCTGTACAGCAACGGGAATGTTCCCAATAGTCATTGGTTGTGGCCAGATTGGGCCTCGCTCTGATGCAGGCTTGCCAGGGAATAAGCCCCCCGCCTTCACTCCCCCCCCCACAGTAAACACCCACCCTCCTAGCACACGGGAGGAGAGCTCCCCTGACCTTGGTTCCAGAGACGGGGAGAACGGGCTGTGTACCTGCTTTTATCCCACCCAGATAGGGGGGCAGTGAGGCCGAGCAGGGCTGGCAGCACCAGAGACGGGTGCTGTGGAGAGTGGGCTGGGAGATCAGAAACCTGCTGCCAGGGAACAAGAGACAGCCACAGAGATCCCAGCGAAGGAAAGTGAGTGGAGCAGCAGGGAGGGGCTGAGCTGTGGACGCCCAGTAACCCCCCTACCGTACTGCTCTGAGACCAGCCGTGCAGGGAGCTGTAACTGGCCCCGGCCTGGGGGAATTCGTGCCAGCTCATGTCCAGGGAGAAGGTGGCGAGCCCTGTGGGGTGATGGCTGCCTGTCTGCAGAGGCATTCCCAGGCCAGTCCTGAGGCAAGCCCTGTCTGAGCTGTGCATAGCCCCAGACCAGGCCGCCCCACCTTGCAGCAGCCAGCGGAGGGCTGAACTCAGACAAGGCCAGGGTTTATTCCAGGGGTCAGCAACCTTCAGAAGTGCTGTGCGGAGTCTTCATTATTCACTCTAAGGTTTGGTGTGCCAGTAATACATTTTAACGTTTTTAGACGCTCTCTCTCTCTAGATGTCTATAATATATAACTAAACTATTGTTGTATGTAAAGTAAATAAGGTTTTAAAAATGTTTAAGAAGCTTCATTTAAAATGTAATTAAAATGCAGAGCCCCCCAGACCGGTAGCCAGGACCCAGGCAGTGTGCATGCCATTGAAAATCAGCTCGCGTGCTGCCTTTGGCACGCGTGCCATAGGTTGCCTTCCCCTGGTTTATTCTGTTCTCTTTTTCTTTCCTTTTCAGTTGACCCTTGACTACAGGCAGGTGAGCAGCCCGTTTCCCTCCACTCCCCCCGCCATACTCGGCTGGTGCATTCACGCACTTGGGAGATGGGTCTTCATTCACTTAAGCCTCCTGGGGAACAACATCCAGTGACCTTTTGAACCGGGGTCTCTGTTGTAGGGAAAGATTTGGGGCTTGTACAAAATGGGGGGGGGGGATTGACGCTGCTGGGATAATTTTGTGTGGCACTCTGACACCATCACTCAGCGGGCAGCGCAGTATCCTAATCACACCCACTGTCTGGGGCTATCAAACCAAAGAGCCTGGCTTCACCGCCAAGAAGCAACTGTTACTGTTTAGAGTGGGGGTTTGTAGGTATACATAGGAAGGAAAGAGGTACGTATATTTTCAAACCTTTCAACTGCTCAGTATATTTCGAAACCTTCTAACAAGTTTTCAGACTGTTCCTGAGAGAGAGAAATTGGTTTGGTGTTGTATGTGTGCGCCCTTTTTAACAGTTTAATTCAAGACACAGCTACTACTACCCTGGTTAGGGATATTTTAATTGTTGGGAATCTATCTAATGTGGGCGGGGAGCACTCTATCTCAGAGACAGACGTGGGCAAGAGGAGCAGCTGGTGAGGCGGTACCAGGACAAGTAGACATGGCAATTTGGAAGCTCCATTATAGTCTCCAGGTGAATGTTACCAGGGGTATCCTGGTACCCAAGGTATCCCATACTCTTCTCTTCCTCAGAAGCAGCATTGCTGGTAGAGCACAGTGAGATTTTGGAAAATCAAGTATCTGGTATTTGCCCAGACCTTTCCCAGTTCTCTCTATAACCTTTCTTAGCAGGAATACCGAGTAAGCAACTATTCCTTAATAAATCATGTCTTTTGTATTCCACTCCACAGCAACCATCCCACAGTGGGATTTTGTTTGCAGGATATCCTATAAGTGGGAGAGCTTTATGCTTCTAGGTAAGTGGAAAGTATGGGGCATAAACAGTGACTGCTACATTTGAAGTAGCATTTATTTTTACGATTCCTGAATTTCCACTCTCTTTCTGAGTTCTCCAACGGCCAGAGAGAGAGAACTGTAGGTAGGAGGAACACCATGCGCCAATCTCAGTGCAGGTCAATAGCAGCATGAACGGAGAACGTCCTGGCATAGGACATGGGGCCAAGAGTGAAGTGAGACATCTTGCCACTTTCAAAATGTATCTGAAATACAGCTCCAACAATCTAGAGAAAGTGCTCGTCTACGCAGCGGAGGCAGGAACAAAAGGCTTAAAGGGTAGGAACTGAGCACCTTGGAGTCTCCTAGCCAGGGAAGGGCCATTGCATTGAGGTGTTGCATCGTTGTGACCTTCTGAGACTGGCTCCCTGATCTGTTACTATATCACCTCTGCAGGAGGACTCAGGGGGTAGTTAAGGAAGAGGAGGAACCAAACTGGTTCTGAGCACGAGGTCGTATGGTGCTGGTATCCAGTGAGTCTCCTGCTTGGCTCAGGGAGCCAATTCCCCTTCCCTTCCCTGCTGAGCATCTCCTCCTTTCTCCCCGCGCAGCCCTCAGCTTGCAGGGGACGGAGACATGACCCCGCGCTCGAGCTCCCCAACGTCTCTTCTGAGCGCCCTCAAGCGGCGCCTCGCCCCGGCCCCGGAGTAGCGACCCCCGGGCTGCCCAGCTGGGGGTCTCCGTTCGGGGCCACAGGCACTGATGGGAGCCCGGCTTCCTCCGGCCTCCCCCGCGCGTGTCCTTGGAGCTGGGCCCGAGGCCTCAGCCCAGCGCCTGGCCCCAGGCAGCCCGGCCGGAGCGGACACGTGGCTCCCTCCGGGGGCCGGTCCCCGCCCGGGGCGGGGGATTATCCCCGGGAGCCCAGCCAGCCCCGCCCCGTGGCGCGCAAGGCTCGTTGCCAAGTCCCCACCGGCCACGCCGTCACTTCCGGCCGAGCGGCCAGTAGTAAACCCTTCCGGATCCGGTGGGAAGCGAGGCCGGCTCGCGGCCGCAGCGCGCGCGCGCGGGTCCGCTCGGGTCGCGCGCCGTAGCGACACCTCCCCCCAACGCGCGCGCGCGCTGCGGACCTGCGCGCTGCGCACCCCGGCTCTGGGCGCTCCCGGGCCGGCCGGCAGCTTGTACAGCGCCGAGCACAGCCGGGGCCTGCGGGCGCCGCAATCCCCACTTCACCCCCCCAGCCGCTGCCGCGGCCCCTTTCCCGAGCGGGGGTCACGGCCCGGGGTTAAGCGGCGCAGGGCGGGGCTCTGAGCGAGGCGGGAAGCGCCGGGACGGGTTAGGGGAGCCCCGCGGCTGGGCACCGGTCCCCCCGAAACTCGCCCCCTCCGCTCCCTGACCCGAGCGCGCGGCGGGGCGGGGCGGGGCGGGGCGGGGCGGAGCTCGCCGCGGGCATGGCGGGGGCGCGGGCCGGGCTCGCCGCTCCTGGCCGGATCCCGGGCCCGTGAGCCAGGCGGCGTGGCCGGGCAGGGGGCGGACGTTGTGGGCCTGAGGAGCCCGAGCAGATCCCGGCGCTCCCTGATCTCCGACCGGGGCCATGTAGGAGGCGCCGCCGCTTCCAGGGGGTGAGAGACGCACGAGGCTCTGCCCTGAGGAGACTGACCCACGTCCATTGCCGTAGCAGGGGCTCGCTGGAGACGGGGGCAGGGGCGGGCTCCCCTATGGGTTTGCCTGGGGATCCGTATTCTGCTCTTCCCGAAGGGATTGTAACCCTGCGCCTGGCGGCGCCTGGCCGAGAGCAATGCCTGGCCGCGCTCCTTCCCTTGTTTGAATCCCGCCGCTTGGCTGGGATCAGGGGCAGCGGAGACGGGTTTCAGTGAGCGGCCCACCACGCTGCCGCCAAGCCTGGGCTGCACCTTGCGAGTGTTTCATGGGACGATGTACACTTTTGTGGTACGAGATGAAAACAGCAGCATCTATGCTGAAGTGTCCAAAATACTCCTGTCCACCGGACAATGGAAGAGGCTGAAAAGAGACAACCCCCGATTTAACCTGATGCTGGGGGAGAGGAACAGACTGCCCTTTGGGAGACTGGGTAAGAGAAAAAGCAGCGCTGGCAGGACAAGGCCAGTGAACAACACAGCAAAGCAGCCGGTTTTTATCAGTGTTCAATGCAACATGCTAATGCTTGCTTGTGTGGAGTGGGCCAGAACCTGTGCTTTTTATGGTTTAATCAATAGTGTGAAGTAATTTGTTCCCATTACAGGATGTTGTCTGATGTTTGTGGGGATGGACATTTAGCTGCTTTTGCCTACTGGGAAATGTAAACTATTATGTGACTAGTGTGTGCTGCAGAGTGTAGATTTGGGTGTTGTCTGCTGCGACAAGGGAGGGACTTGGCCATTGGCATGGCAGTAGCAGAGGGTTTGCCTTCGGGAAGTACAACAGCATAGCTGAAGATAGATTCTGGTGATGGCTCTTATTTTTAAAGTTAGCCTTTGTTAAAAAATATAGCATTTTTATTATCTAAAGATTAATTTACCCAATTGTAGAAATTAGTCATTGGGGGCTGTATTAACATTTCTGGTTACATCTATGTTGCATTAAACATTTTAATTTTGATGGTTCTGTTCCATTATAATATGGAATCTTCGAGGAAATCTGCTTATAGCAGTATCTTATATTAGAAAACAGGAACAAAGGAATGCTTAGAATCAGAGATCTCAGCAACATGATGCTATATTATGAGATATCTGCAATTTTCAGCTGGAGACAAGAGATTTTTGTTCTTTCAACTGCAATTTTAAATTGAAATGTCGTAATGTTTATGAATTCAAATTGCTATTTGAAATATTGCCTAGTCTGATATGGAAAGCAAGGCCAACTGGTTCTTACAAAATGTAACCTCCCTTTCTTGAATGGTTTCAGGGGGCCCCCAAACCCCAAAGTGTGAAAGGATGGAGACAGTCACTCTGCTTTTATCTTTAATCCCCACATGTTCCCTTCTCCAGGAAGCCCTCTGACCCTTAAAGAAATAGCTAACATTTCTTTATCTTGAGGTATTTTTCACCTTTTTGAACTTCCACGATTGGTATCATTTGGTGAGAACTTCCTCACCCTTTTCTGAAATCTTGAGGGTGGGGTTGGGATCAGGATTGACTCAAACATGGCTTAAGGGGGGAAAAACTTAACATAACATGTAACTCTCTCTGTTTGTATGACAAACCTATGCCCATAGTTTATCATTCAGCTCCCCATATGATCACAAGTTTTCTCGCAGGAGAAAATGAGTTCTGCTTAGTTGTGGGCGAAAAGTAATTTAATAATAGTACAGTGGTCTCAAAATGGGATATGCAATGTGTTTTGTTGAGGATTTATTTTTATATATATCCTAATATAAAAAAGATGAGTCATTTGTGAAGGACACTGGGAAATTCTCTAAGTGATACTAAGATGTGATTTGATCAGTTTTTAGATCCTCTTATAATTTAGATTTGGGCAGATTGTTATATTTGTCATTCCTATTTGAGTTAATTTATAATTCTGCATGAATTTATTTTGAAATTAGCCCAATGAACAGAGAGATGACTCATTGTAAAACTTCTGTGTGGAATTTGGCACGGTTGTCTGCTTCTCTTCAGGAGATGGTCAGAATTGAGTTAAGCTAGCCGTGATGTATTCAGATACAAGCATCTTGCTCTCAGAAGGTCTGGTTCACCCAGGGCTGCCCTTTGTGTTTGCTAACAGCACTAGAAGAATGCTGCAACACTCTGCAGAAAACACTGCCTGGGATCAAAGAGAGTGACACAGAGAAGACAGCTAAAACAGGGCTGTGTAAGCATTGGGGAAATGGAAAGAATCAAACTTCTCACTTTGGTGTGAACCACAGAAATAAAGGCCCTTAAACACTTCTCATTCAGAACTGACCATTCAGAGTCTGTCGGCCAATGTGGAACTCAGCGGTGCTCCTGTGGAAAACTTTCTATACTTTTTCTTGAGCCTGCGACAGATCTGTGCTTGCTTTGTTCACTGTACTCCATCCACTAATGTGAGAGGCGGAAAATAAACGTCATGGAAATTGGCCTGGGGACATAACTCTGTCACAGGCTCCCACTTGGCCCCCAAGTCCATGTGGTTTGGCTCTGCAGGTCTAGTAATGGACATGCTAAGGGAGCGAGGTGGTAGGGTCTGTGGGAGGGCTGCTCCTCACTCCCTCAAGCTCACACCCACTGGGAGGTTTAGTTTTTTTCGTTTATTGAAAGCGGATTGTTTGATTTTATTTAACCCAAACCGTGGTAAGCTCCACTGTTACTCTGTAAGCTGGTGCAGCACATCTACAGTAGGTGCAAATAGATAAGCTTTAAAGCCATTTACAAAATTCTCATAGGAGATTTACCCACCCGGGTGCAAAATGTATGCACCCACCCTTTACCATGAGGGCTTGTGGCAAGGTACTGGCCAATTGCAGTCTAAACTCCCCCTGAGCCGGTGTGGCAGTTAGAATTGTGCTGGGCTGATCTACAGGGTTATTGGTAACACAAGTTAAAAAAAAAATTTTTTTTACCAAACTAGAATCTGTAACCTGATGGTGTCCCATTTTAAAAAGAAATGGGGACTGATTTGATATTGGGAGTCATACACCTGGTAGGACATACTACCATGTTTCATTAATATGTATCCACCAGCACAAAGCCCCCCAAATGACAATTTTAGATACAGGAGGGGGAGGGGGATTTTTACAAATTTGAAGAAAATGTTGAAATTGCCGGAATTGTTGAAGAAGTCAACTTTGATTGCATAACAATAGAATTATGAGCTAGGAGAACGCAACAAAGCTGAGGCAGTGTGTAGGCTACCACCAAACTCGCCTGGTGGATGGTTTAATTTTAACCAGTTTGTCTCACTTGCTGTGTTTTTCTTCTGAGAGTTCAGTTAATGTAGTGCTCGCAGTAATTTATTCTTTTATTCTTGCCAGCCGCATTTCTATAGGAGCGATTTGTTTTGCAATCATGTGGCCAGACCTCTCCTCATCCCTGTGCCACCACTCCCATTCTCTCCTCCCCCCGCCGCCCCCCAGAAAACTAGGAGGGAGCAAACTCCACAAGCCTCTTGCAGATTTCCCGTAGACTAGAGTTCATCACCTCTCCCTCTCTAGATCCCAGGGGATCTTCTGAAGGTAACAGAGGCATCTGCATGGAGGTCCTTTGCATCTGCACCAGCTCACGGCCTCCTTTCCCCTCTCTTACAGCCTTGCATTTCTGCCAAGGACCCATGCTACTGCCCCTAGAAGTTCCTTCCCCTTCTGAAGGGGGTCATTCCTTAGCACAGAGGGAGTGTTCCACTGAAAAGTAATCATTACCTACATGGAGAGACGATATCTGATAGTAGAGGGCTCTTTAATATAGCAGGCAAAGGCTGAAACTAGCCAGAATCAGAGGGGAAATGAGGCACAAATTAGTAAGTGGTAATTAACCATGGTACAATTTACCAAGGCAAGTGGTAGATTTTCAGTTATCTGGAGTCTTGAAATTAAGATTGGCCTGTCTACAAATATGCTGTAGCTCCACCACAAGTCATTGAGCTGGATGCAGGAATCAGTGGGTGGAATTCTCTGGCCTGTGTTAAGCAGGAGGTCAGACTGGATGATCTCAGAGATCCCTTCTGGCCTTAAAACTATGGGGGAGAGGAAGGGAAATGATGGCAGACCTAGGCTGCATTCACTGTTGTACGGGATCCCGGGGGAGGTTGAAGAATGAGAACAGATGCAGTGTCATTGCTGATCCTGAGGAGAGCCTTCTCCTGGGGAGAGCAGCATTCAGAAGTTGAGAGATCTGCATGTGCTTGATGAGAAGGATCTGCCCCATTGCAATGAAATATGTTTCCTGGCTGCCTTCAGGAGGATTATTCTGAACTGGAATCCTCTCTTTCATTTCAGTAAATCGGGACAGCTCCCTAATCCTGTAATAAGAATGTGGGGCTATATTCCTGGAATAGCTCCTGCATCTGTTCCCTAACAGTAGGACTGGTTCCCCTTGCCATGACATTCCCTCCAGCATTTTGCTGTGTATTTTCCTGTCCCCCCACCCCCCACCACTTTTTTGCCTGTCTCTGTTCTTTTAACCGAAGGATCTTAAAGTGCGTATGTACAAATTTAGTGGCAAAAAAGAACACTAGAATAACCTCTTCTAGTAGTAACACAATAAAATGTGCATAATGGATTCCTCTTTCTTTTAAAGAAATACAGTAATAAGATTAGAACATAATCTCCAGTTCTTCCAACAGTAGCTCCTATTGAATGACCATCCGACAGCCAATATCCCCGGCATTCACTTTTCCTGTTCTGTTTATTTTTTGCTTCAGGGAAACCGGTTAGTAAAGATTAAAAAGCTACTCGCGAATGTCAGTCACTCACTGGTTTTTCGGGTGGCCATTAGAACAACTAGAGTGTGGTTTTCAGCCTGTGACCTGCAGACCCCTGGGGGTCAGCAGACAGTCTCTAATATTTCCAAAGGGATCCACGCCTCCATTGGAAGTTTTTCAGGGGCCTGCAAATTAAAAACCATTGAAAACCACCAACTTAGAGTAACCAGTAAACGAGTATTTCCCTTTCTTATTTTGCGAGTGCGTGTGAGTTCGTCTAGTTCCCATGCATGGAACTAACGTGTGTCTTATACTCTTCCTTTTAAAGCCCGTCCAGCTGGAGTGTGCCTCAGGGTTTTCATTGAATTACCTACCCACCCCTGCCCCTTCCCAATCTCTGCTCGTCCAGCCAGCTGGTTTGGGTGCCATTTCTGTTCAGCACAGTCTCTAATTTGTGGAGCAACTAAGGGTGCACTTAGGGGCAAACCCTTAGCCCAGTCTGGTCAGGTGTGCTATGTGGGTGGAATCCGCCCCCCCATGGAGCCGGTTTGGATTCTGGTCCAGTACAATGGCTACTAGTCCTGAAGTAACAGCCCCTTCCCCACAGGGTTGGGTTGGGGGAAGATGGAAGTGTCTGTGTAGCAGCCAATCCTGTGCTTCTGCTCCCAGCTCCTGCGCTCTGTCATAGGGAGCTCAGGCAGAGCAGGCCACTGCCAGTGGGTGCCCTGCTGTCTGTCTGGCCTCCCAAAATCAAACCCTTGCCCCTTCTGTGTGTAGCAGATGATTCTTCCTTTTTCTGAATCAGTTAGAAAAGATGCCAATGTCTTCAGTGCGGGGTGCCTCTCTTCAGCTCTACCTGCTGTGAGTAGAGCACTCCTTGAGTCACGATGACAGGGCAGCAATGGGGAAAGGGCTTGCTTCTACTGAATCAGGGCATTTTCAATATTTCAACTTTGTCCTGGCTCTCCTGCTGGGAGAGGAGTCATTGCTAGTCACCCCTTTACTTCTAGCCAAGAAAATTAAAACAAAGTTGCCTAGCCAATAAATGAAAGATTCTGCACATTTCTTAGAAGTAATCATTTGAGTTTAATTGTCAAGACACACAAGGTAGAGCTGTTGCATTATTTCTTGAGTCCAAATGCTCAAAGGGTGTCCCCTGCCATCTGTGCCTGGGAGGAGGGGGGCGGGTAATGCTTACAGACACTTGTCTAGCTGGTGAACCTCAGGGAACAAAGGATTTTTAGGCACTCTAAGCAAATAACACATTGCTACTCTCTATTGTAAGGACAAGGTGGGGTCACAGTGGGGGGAGGTTTGGTTCATTACAGATATTTAGGTAATAGACCTATTTGCGGAATACCAAGTACGTACGAGTGACAACCAGCACTAGAATATGGAAGTATATAAGGCATATATGACTTACCACCACAAACCTAACTTAGAATGGTCAAGCCTAAGTAAGGTGCATTTCATGATGCAACCTGGGCCCAATGTCAGCATCACGTGGTTGTCTGGGGTACTGTATAACAGAGAAGTCTAATTTTTCTCTTTTTTCCTAGGATTCCTTAGCAATCTGTTCTCCCCCCCCCCCCCCTTTTTTTTTTTAATTGAAAAGTTTGTTCTTTAACTCTCCCTTTCCTCTTGTAGGTCATGAACCTGGACTTGTGCAGCTGGTAAATTACTACAGGGGAGCTGACAAGCTTTGTCGCAAAGCTTCCTTAGTGAAGTAAGGATTCCATTGAAACCTTTTAGTGGGTTGGCAGAAATGTTTTTTCTAATGCAACTAAATATGAAGTGTGTTTCGTATGATGCTTGAGAAAAAGCACCAACATTTGCCTTTAAAGGCCTGCTGTTCAGGGACCCTTGGGCAAGCTTCAGAAGCTGCATCTGCTTTTTTTCTTCACAGTCATTTGTGTGCCCAAAAAGCATTTCAGTTTCTAGATACTGGACCTGATTTTCATGGGCAAGCAGCATTTGTGTGTGTAATTCCGTTATTTGCGCTTGCAAATGGTGCTGCATGGCAAGTTGGGAACGCAAGAGCAGCAGATGATGTTTCCTAAAATTTGGACCTAAAGAAACAACCACTACAACATTATCTGTCTCTCCCGGTAGATATATTTTAAAAACTTGCTTCCAATCTGCTATTTCTGCTGTTCATTTTTAGAGAGACTTGCAGTACTAATGTGCCTCTAGCTAACCAGATCCTTTGGTCAAGTGAATGCCAGGAGACATCTTTTTTCAAAAGAGACTACTCAGAGACCGAGTTTCATCATCATCAGCAATGCCAATGTCTCCTGCAAGGAGTGGTGCTTGTGCTTCCATTTGTTAAAGAGATGGAATATTGAGTTGGTTTATTAAAATAGGACTGAACTCTGCTTCAGTTACAGCAGGTTCATTTCAAAGCTCCTGGTCTGCTCAAACTGTTTAAGGCTTCACTGTCATACAATAAGAGACAGGCTGCAGGGCCTACATTAACTTACATAATGTGGAGTATCATTCTGTAGCCCGCCCATCATAATCGTTTGTATACAATGGTGCACCTTGGGCCTGCATGGTTTACGTTTGTTTAAAAAATCCCTTCTAGAAATCCCAGGCCCTTCTATGTAGATATGATGTAAACAATCACCCAATGCCAGAGAGCAGATTACTTAAAACCATTCATTGAGATTCACAGAATTATTTCTATATAGTTTGTGCTTTGTGGTCAGTGCCTGTCTTTTCTAAAGCTGTAGCTGACTTTCCCTCTTAATCCCGGGGGTCACCAACACTTCTAATTGCTTAAAAATCACCTGTGACTCTGAATAAAACCATTTTGACAAAATCCAAAGCCCACCAAAGTCAATGGGAAATTTCCCTTTAATATCAGTGGGTTTGGATTGGATATATATAGCTCCCGTTTGGAGAAAATTACTTTTCTGAATAGCCTAGTTCACCATTCTGATCACCTCATCTTTCCTGATCAAGTTCCATTGCACAGCAATTTTTGCAGGGGCGTCTGTGTTAGGACACAAGATTCCCAATGAAAACTCTTTGTTGGTTTCTCAGAAAGATCTGTGCGGATAATGTGCAATATCTAGCTATATGGAGCCATTTTTTATTTATTATTTCAGAATATTTGACTCCAGTTCATGATAAAAGGCAAATATATTAAAGACAACATAGAAAGATCTAGATCAATGATTTGTAACAACGTTTATTTAGAAAGATGAGTGCACAAAAACATCTTTAGGAGAGAGAGGAATTTACACAAATCTCAGTCTTATAGTATTACAATATTTGCTGGCTTTTGAAAAATATTTTGTCCTACTTTTTCTTCTAGCAGCTTTAAAGAGAGGACTATTTTCAGCAAGTGAATAGAAATATATACAGTACAGTATTATTATTGTTGAATATGCATTAACCACATTCACTACCAGGAAAAAGGCTCATATTAATGATAACCTGCGTTTAATAAGTATAAATTATTTTGGGAGCTCTAGGATTAGCAAGGCTAATGGGCTGGTTTATCTTCTTCAACTAGGCTAATCAAGACGAGCCCTGAGTTATCAGAATCCTGCACATGGTTCCCAGAATCATATATGATTTATCCAACTAACCTAAAGACTCCAGTGGCTCCAGCACAGAATGGAATTCGCCATCTTATAAACAACTCCAGGACGGATGAAAGGGAAGTGTTCCTGGCCTCCTACAACAAGAGAAAGGAGAGTGGGGAGGGGAACGTGTGGCTAGCCAAATCCTCGGCCGGTGCCAAAGGTTTGTTTCCTGCTGAGATGCTCCAACTCTTTTCTGTTCTTGTTGTTTGATTTTTGTTACTTAAAAAAAAAAGAAGGATGCTTCTTTTCCCTGCATCGTGTCTAGCCAGGGTTGCAATATGCCTGTTTAAGAGCAGTGTGTGCTCTGCACTGCGGGCCTTTACATAAGTACCACAAAAAACTCTGTTCTCTGCACCGGCTGGGGCATTTTATGATCTCCTCTCTGCTCCTAGGGAACCGTCAGCACGGATTAAAAGTACAAACCTTCACATTCTGTCTGATATTTGGGCAGGTGAATAAATGACCAGCAATGACCACTCTGATGCCATAAACACCCAGTACTGCTCCCCGGCAGAGCTCTTTGTGTGGGGAAGACCCCAGCAAGAGACAAGGCACAAGAGGTCTGTCCTGTAACAAAGCCAGTGTAATGTGGGGTATGGGCAGAGAGCCTGAGCGGGGATGAAGGAATGTGGGGGGCAGGAGGAGAGTGGTGAGGGTGGGGGAAGAGTGTGGGAGTAGGAGGGGTGCAGGGAAATATGAGTGGCAGGGAAGATAATGGTTACGGAGAGGACAGATGATCATAGGGGCAGGTGGAGGACAGGAGACGGGGAGAATATGAGTGGAACCGGAAGGGAGGAAGGATAGTGATAGGGTCTGTTGTACTGCTGTCTCTCAGGCCAGTGATACGGAAGGCGGAAGGAGAGGAATCGACTGGTAGCTTCCCGTTCCAGAGGATTTGGGAGGATAATGGGGCAGGGGGGTTGCCCTCCAAGCAGCTGCTGGGGAGGCACCTGCATTCCTGGCTGAACTTTGAATCTGAAACACGCGCACACAGGGAGTTCCCTGCAAGGCTCAGAGACTGGCCGGCAGCTCTCCCCACCGGCTCATGATGTCTGGGTGCTCATGGCTGGCAATAGGGGATGCTGGAGACCAGACCAAAGGGAGGCAAAAACAGAAACAAGGAAAGGACAGAGAACAGAGACCGAAACCACCGGCAGGAGAGGAAGAGAAGAGGGACATGGATGCTCTCCTACATGTGCATGTGCTGGAGTAGGAGACATGAAACCAAGTCCTCCCCCTCAAAATCACTACTGCTTGTGTTCAGAGGGCAGCTAAAAGTCTCAGCCCTTGTGGTTCCCTAGGGGACCCGCTCACCTCGGGTACAGAGCTGGCCAGACTGTCAGCTGATGTCAGTCAGTGTAATGCCGTCAAACAATGCAGTTATGCCAACTCATGGCAGCCTGGGTCCAGCCCAGAGGCCTTTCAGCCACCCACAATAGCCAGCCACTTGGTTTTGCAGAAATCCCCGTAACAAATATCAAGTCTGAGGAAAATCTCAGTACTTTGAATAAAAATCATATTGATTAATGCCTGTTAATAAAGACAAGTAATTATTCTGGAAAATCATAATTTATCACGTACAAGACCTCAAATGACTTTTGATCCAATATTAGGAAAAAAGCTATCAAGTAATGCTACAAGGAAGCTTTAAAACTGTATACATTCCAGCGCAAGGTGGCTGTAAAATATATTCATATTAATGGACAGTGAGATTCCAAAGTATATCAAAACATCTTGCTGAAAATCAGTGTGGATGCATTCTTCCAGAAGATTGTCCTTTACACCATCTGTTCCTCTATCACTCTGTCCTGTCATTCATATTCCTCAGACATGACCTAAGAGGAGAAGGCTTGGTTTCATCAAAATGGAAAAAAAAGGACGTTTCTTCCCATCTAATCTTCGTAGCAAAAAGTACTCCTATAGTCTCACTAGCTGATTTTAAAACTCTGATTTAAGCAATAACTAAAGCGTCTCCTGTATCTGGGGAGTAGCTATAGTGGGGGAAATTGTAAAGCATTTTACTTAAATATGATAACTGTCTCCTGCTTCAGGCATGACCCCCATCTTGTCAGTTATAGAAACAAATGTAATTGTAAGTGTTTGACGCACAGAAGCAGAACCCAGAGGAGAACATTTAAAATGGAATACAGAGCACTCTTATAATCTTCAAAAATGGTTCATATCTTCTCCCAGAATTGTTCTATACAATAAAAGGAAGTCCTCTAAATGCTTAGGTAAACCCAGTCTCCTAACATTACATAATAATAATAATAAGAAGAATGTAATATTTAATAACTAATTTAATAAACCTCAGTCTTCTATTATTAAAAGGAAAATTGCTGTTTTAAAAACCCAAACAAAACCAGAAAATCTTAGATTTAGGGCAAACATTTGGGATTTTTTTTCAAGAACAATGGATATGGACAGTTAAAGGGATCCCAAGGAGCCTTACTTCTGTCCTGCTTAATCCCCACCTGGCTCAGCCCCAATGCAGGTGACAAGTTCAGCTAACCACCTGCCTCATTCACCATCCATCCTGTGCACGGAGTGGAGCAGGGTTCCTGTGGGGGGAAATAGCATGGGATCATGTAATTAAAGACTGTATCATAATGCATATGGACCAGGGGACCAAATTAAGATTACACAGGCAGTCGTAAATCTGGCATTTTCTAACTTTTCAGTGCTTGACTTAGCAACATTACCCTTATTTTAATATGGGTTATTTTGCATGGAATTTCATTGATCTTTTAAAAAAAGAAAAATGAAAAAACAAAAAGTTCCATTATGTACAATCATATTGCTCCTCTCCACTCTCTCCAAAGGCTAAATTTGAATCTAGGACCTCAGCACATATCTCTGCCCCTTGAGCTAAGAGAGTAACTGGTACCAATAGTAGGCTGTTACTCTGTTTGAACCAGCCACTAGGTGGGGATGTGATAACACATTGCTACTAGTGGGTGGTGGTGATTATTTATAATTTGTATTGCTGTAGTGTTTAAGGATCCCAGTCATAAACCAGGACCCCACTGTGCGAGGTAATGTACAAACATATAACAAAAAGTCATTCCTTGCCCTGAGAGGTTTATAACATAAGTAAACTGCACAGCGATTTGCTAGAAAGCAATGAAATGCTGTGGATCAGGATTCCTAGGGTCTGTTCCTGGCTCTGGGAAAGAAGCATTGTCTGGTGGTTAGAGCAGTGGATCAGACAACCTAACCAAGCACATAGATTCAGCAAATTCATTCTGAAAAGCAGTGCAGGTAAGACTCTCATCTACCATATGGAAGAAATCCCAGTTCTGCTAGAAGTGATCCCGTGCAACCTCTGTTGGCAGGAGAGAGATCACTTGATCATTGCCTGTTAGTTTCACTCCCTCTGGGGCACCTGGCATTGGCCACTGTCGGCAGACGGGATGCTGGGCTGGATGGACCTTTGGTCTGACCCAGTATGGCCATTCTTACGTTCTTACTGTATCTGTAAAATGAGGGGAATGATATTTCTCTGCCTCCTGGCATAGGCATAATGCAGCCTGGATCAATAGTAAGCATTGTGCATTGCACAGAAGTAAACACCAGTCACTGAAAGAGGTGAGTCTTGAACTCATGGTCTCCTGGTTTTCAGCCCAATACACTTTTCCCCAGGTGCAAGGGTATTTTGGTGGAGGAAGGCTCACAAACACAGGAAGTTTGGCAGAGCCTGGGAGTTTGCTCAGTATAATTGGGAAATAGGTGAAACAAGTATAGAAAAAATCCTACTGTGGATGTGCTAATGGGGACTTTAAAAGCTTATAACTCAGCTAGAACTGGGGGGATTTTCATGAGGGAAAGCAAAAGGAACCTCCCTGACTGCAAGCCTACCCCTTCCACTGAATCTTCAAACTTCTGCTCCAAATCATGGAGCTGTTAGAGCTGTTGAAAATAGTAGTCTGGAATTTTTGTAAGCACTGGCAAAACTACCTGTTTTCCCCTAGCCTCCTCCTTGGAATTGCCTGCCCTGTGCTCAGATTTTTCAAAAATTCAATGTGAGACAGACAAAAACAGAAGATTTCAGCTGGAAGAGTTAAAGTTTGGCAAAGCTTAAAACAACCAAGAATCAGGGGTTCTCTGGGGAGTGTTAGGTGACTATAACTGTGAGTGTCACTTCCCAGTAATGCCAAATTCTGGAAAGACTGTTCTGTTTCTAATACTCCGCCACTGCAAGTGGATGTTTGTATTGAAATTATATGGGGGAAGGGATAATTGCCAACTTCAACTGTAAATTGGAGGGAATTTGAAGATAGATTTGAACTTTCTCAATGGGGGACTTTCATACCAGGGAAAATATTGATATTAGGCTTATCCTTTTTTAAACCCATTTCTTTCTGCATTCTTGATAATTTAGTATTGACTTTAACCTTGAACTAAATGGGGCTGCAATGAGTAAAGTTACTCCTGTGAGTGTTTGTAGAATTATATTTGTCAGAAGAAGCTGAAACAAAAATCTTACTAGAAGAAATAGCTTCAATAAACTGAGGAGCCACATAGAAAATACAGGCAACTTGAATTGCTTCATGTTTAAATTCAAAGTCACCCTTATAGTGGAAGGTGTCATTGTGCTGTTTGTGTGCCATCTTTCAGATGAGACATAAACCAAAAGAGGAAAGAGAGTTGCTTAGTTAAAACACTCAAGTGGGACTAAGATCTGGGTTTCAGTTCCTGGAGCTTCCATAGACTCTGCATGTGACTTGGGCAAGCCATGTATTCCCTCCTTGCTTCAGTTTCCATCTGTAAAACGGAGATTATCATCTACCTCACAGGTGTTAGGAGGTTAAATTCATTGATGTGTGATATGCACCCAGATGGTACAGTGCAGGGGACTGTATAATTACCGTCCTAGACAGATTCAGGGTACTTCACTGGGGGCAAATACTGAGCCGAAATAGAACTGGGAGAAAACCAGTTATACAGCCCCACTATGGAAAGAGACTTGGCACATTAAACATGGGTGTCAAGAGCATGATGATTCCTCTTTGTTCAGTCTTAGACCACAGTTTGCCTCAAGAAATTACGCTGATTAAGCAGTAGAGTGTCTAAAAGGAACTGTCAAAATGATTTAAAGTGTTAGAGGGCATATCCTATAAGAGGAGACTGGATAAGATGAAAAAGAGACCTAAATATCTATAAAAAGCCAAAGAGGATTTATTTTTAGGGTTACATGGTTACATAAGATGCGAAGTAATGTTTTAAAGGGGGGGAAGGGAAGAGGCCTGTCCCGCAGACGTTTACATGCATAACCTAACCCATGCAGGTAGCGCTCCTGCACTCTGTGACTACATCTGAGTAAAGGTATTCAGGTGTGCAGGACAGGCATTCTAGATGATAGGAAAATAATTCGGGACGGGGAGACCAGTCAGGCAATGGAATAATTGCCAAGTATATGAAAAAATTAACTGGATTCAGCACACAAAGCCTGGAGGTCAGACTAGGTTACCCTGGAGGTCACGTCAGGCCTGACGTCTCTAACTACATGATGATGATGATGTGTTCCTGTTATTTTTGTGGGAGGTTTTGTGTATTGGAGGTTTCCCTGATCAGTGTGTTGTGGAGTTGAAGTTCCCATCTCTCTGCTCCACAGAGATGTCTTAATCAGTCTTTACTGTACATTGGAATGGTATATTGCGTCTGAGAAAAGTTCTCTGAAACACCAGAAGTACGTGATAAACAGCTTTTGTTAATTGGTCTCGTGGAAGAATTCTGTTTGGTAGTTACAGAACCTGAGGAAAAACAGTAGAAGCCACAATGCACAAATTTTAAACAAGACTCAACCACACAGACAATCCGGACTCTTAAGTACAAAGATGTCCCAAGATCTAAATGTCTATTTTCAACTGTAACCCTTATAGCTGAAACTCTTCCGTTGTCTTGAAGCCTAGACATCTCTGGGTACCTAGACGAAAGTCTTTATTAGCCAGAGAAGTTTTTACCTCCATATTCTCAAGCGTGGTCATAGTGCCAAATCTGCTGCACTAAGAGACCCAATAACATATGTCATTACATATATTTTGGTGTACTTCAAAATCCTTTAAAAAAATAATTTCCATTGATCATATCTGTGAAACTTGCTTTATTTTCCCTTTGCTTTTTTTCATGTTAGGTGAAGGAATTCTTATTTCTTCAGAGGCTACTGAACTTCTGAACTTTATAGATGATCAAGGACAAGTGCATGTGATTCAGAAATACCTTGAAAAGCCTATGCTGTTAGAGCCAGGCCATCGCAAGTTTGATATTAGGTAACGTTTTCTATTGATACTTAGATTGCCTGTCAATTCTTATTCAAAAAGATTAGAGAAAATGCATTGGGGTGAGTGAAGTGTTGTTAATAAATCTGATTATGTGCATTTGATTATGTGCATATGCTGGCTTAAAAAAACCCCCAAACCCTATTTAGTGTTCTTCTAATTTTCAGAAGCTGGGTTCTAGTGGACCACCAATATAATATCTACCTCTACAGAGAAGGCGTTCTGCGGACCTCTTCAGAACCATACAATAGTGCTAATTTCCAAGACAAAACCTGCCATTTGACCAATCACTGCATACAGAAGGAATATTCTAAAAACTATGGGAAGTATGAAGAAGGGAACGAAATGTTCTTTGAGGAGTTCAATCAGTATCTGATGAGTTCTTTGAACATTACACTGGAAAGTAGCCTGTTATTGCAGATCAAACAAATAATAAGGTAACTTGTTGATCATTATTTGTGTTACAATAACACCCAGAGACACCAGCCAGAACTGAGGACCCATTGTGGTAGGGACTGTACATGCACACAGTAAGGGACAGACCCTGCCCCAAAGAGCTCAGTCTAAAATAGATGAGACAGACAAAAGTATCATTATCCCCATGTTACAGACAAGGAACTGAGGCTCAGAGAGGTTAAGTGACTTGCCCAAGGTCACATAGGAAGTGTGGGGCAAAGCAGGAAATTGACCCTATGGGCTTGTATAGTCTAGGGAATTTCCACAAGGTGAATGGAGCTATTTTTTGTTTCTTGTTCAGCTTATTCAGATATGTACATATATTTACAGAGCTGGGTAAGCCAAAATTCACCAAAGTTTCCACTAATTTCAGGTGCCTTACTGATTAGGTGCATGCATGAGACAAGTGGGGCCTGATTTTCAGAGGTGCTGAGCATTCACAACTCAAACAGACATCATCAGGAGCTATGGGTGGAGATGATACAAAGAACTAACAAAGAGTTGCTTCATTTACTCAGTGCTCCATCCTGTGTACTGAATGAAGCAGGGTCCTGTGCGGAAAATGTGATCATGTTAATGACAGACTGTCTTGTAGAATCCTAGAAGATTAGGGTTGGAAGAGACCTCAGGAGGTCATCTAGTCGAACCCCCTGCTCAAAGCAGGACCAGTCCCCAACTAAATCATCCCAGCCAGGGCTTTGTCAAGCCTGACCTTAAAAACCTGTAAGGATGGAGATTCTACCACCTCTCTAGGCCAGTGGTCTCCAAACTTTTTTGATCGTGCACCCCATCAGTAAAAAAATTTTGAGCACGCACCCCCTGCCACACCGGCTCTACCATTTTTGCCGAAGCAAAAAAAAAAAGTCCCTCCGCCCCCCCCCCCCACCTCCCCACCAAAAAGAAAAAAAAAAACAAAAAACCGCTCCGACGAAGCAAAAAAAAAAAAAAAAGTGCTCCTCCTGCCGCGCACCCCTAAGGATCCTCTTGCGCACCCCACTTTGGAGACCACTGCTCTAGGTAACCCATTCCAGTGCTTCACCACCCTCCTAGTGAAAGTGTTTCCTAATATCCAACCTAGACCTCCCCCACTGCAACTTGAGACCATTGCTCCTTGTTCTGTCATCTGCCACCACTGAGAACAGCTGAGCTCCATCCTCTTTGGACCCCCCCTTCAGGTAGTTGAAGGCTGCTATCAAATCCCCCCTCACTCTTCCCTTCTGCAGACTAAATAAGCCCAGTTCCCTCAGCCTCTCCTCATAAGTCATGTGCCCCAGCCCCCTGATCATTTTCATTGCCCTCCACTGGACTCTCCCTCCATATCCTTTCTGTAATGGGGGGCCCAAAACTGGACGCAGTACTTGAGATGTGGCCTCACCAGTGCCGAATAGAGGGGAATAATCACTTCCCTCGATTTGCTGGCAATGCTACTACTAATGCAGCCCAATATGCTGTTAGCCTTCTTGGCAACAAGGGCACACTGTTGACTCATATCCAGCTTCTCATCCACTGTAATCCCCAGGTCCTTTTCTGCAGAACTGCCACTTAGTCAGACAGTCCCCAGCCTGTAGCAGTGCATGGGATTCTTCCTTCCTAAGTGCAGGACTCTGCACTTGTCCTTGTTGAACCTCATCAGATTTCTTTTAGACCAATCCTCCAATTTGTCTAGGTCACTCTGGACCCTATCCCTACCCTCCAGCGTATCTACCTCTACCCACAGCTTAGTGTCATCCGCGAACTTGCTGAGGGTGCAATCCATCCCATCATCCAGATCATTAATGAAGATGTTGAACAAAACCGGCCCCACGACTGACCCCTGGGGCACTCCGCTTGATACCGGCTGCCAACTAGACATCGAGCCGTTGATCACTACCTGTTGAGCCCAACAATCTAGTTAGCTTTCTATCCACCTTATAGTCCATTCATCCAATCCATATTTTTTTAACTTGCTGGCAAGAATACTGTGGGAGACCCTATCAAAAGCTTTGCTAAAATCAAGGTACATCATGTCCACTGCTTTCCCCATATCCACAGAGCCAGTTATCTCGTCATAGAAGGCAATCCGGTTGGTCAGGCATGACTTGCCCTTGGTGAATCCATGTTGACTGTTCCTGATCATATGCACAGGAGGGCTGAATGAGGGTTGCATGGGCAACCTTAATATTGGCATTTCCTAACTTTTAAGGGTTTCACATTACAAACTGAGTGTCCTTTTGACTAGTTTTTTTAAATTGATGTAATATTGGCTTATTGGTGGATTCCCCTGGTAATATCATTGCTGTTCCCAGGTTATTCCATAATTTGCTCAAGATATGGTTTCTTGCCCCTTTCTCTGGAAAAGCTGGTCCTGGGCTGAATAGACCCAGTTCCTAAGCCTGTGTGTTCTCAGAGGAACAAAGATACAATGGAAGGATTGGGATGATGTCATAGCCGGGAAGGAAAGTCATTCCAACTGGAAGCAGAAGGCTGTACTGTGATCTCAGGCTTTTATATTGATTTTGTAATCTAAAATATTTCACTATTTAGAACGCTCCAGTAATGTGCCTAGGAATAAGGATGTTATAATGAGCCTGCATCCTATTTAAACCCATTCCCTCAGAAATGATAGGAGCTATTTCAAGACATTCCTCGTGGTATGGTTTCCTGTTACAACAAGTTGGTTCCTGTCCTACAGCTGCTGAACCACGGCTTGACATTCCATCGCGCGCTGACATTTCTGGACACCTGCTCAAGCGGATAATCAGCAGAGCTCTTTCAAACTGCTGCATTTCTGTGGGCTGGTTCACCCTTCACTCTGTTTCACTGCTCTTAGACTGATTTGTGAAGCCATGTGTTACGCTTGGGTTGGATTCACTATGACTTGGCACTGAGGTGCAAGTCTGTAGCCAGCGGCTGGAGCAGGGTCTGCCGTGCTTTCTGCATTTGTTCCCTCCCATGGGGGGAGATGCACAGAGCTGGATCTCCCAACTTGTCTACATGCTGTCCTTCCCCATTGCTGCACATGGGAATCTTAGGGAGCTGACATCTTGGTAGGAGCTGTGCATATCTCTTGCACTCTCCCCTTTTATACACCAGACCCACCCCAATCCACTGCCATGAGAGCCTCCGCTGATTCTGGGGACTAGCTGGCTGGAACTGGCTCTGCAGCAGTGAGGTACAGTAGAAAGGAATGAGGTAGATAACAGGCACTTCCCCCATCCTGACCCCTTTGTGCTGCTCAGGTGGCACAAAGGGGCTAGAATCTGGCCCTAACTTTCCTTGGTGGGGGAAGCTCTCAGTGGCACAAAGCTGTCATAGTCCCCTCCTGTGCCAACTGCCCCGCCCTCCAGCATTGGGGTGGGCAGAGCATAGCTGTGCTCCTCCAGTTCTCATTGGCATGTGATCGCGTGTCCCTAGGCAGCTCTAACGGCAGGGCTGGAGAGTTGTGGCTTGTGGATCAGGGAGCTGTAACTGGCCCCCTCATAGCTCCTTTCTGAACGGGGGGCATCGTTCTAGAGGAGCACTTGAGCAGCGTGTGATATTGCATCAGGCATGCTTTTCCCGCAGCTGATGCAGCTAGTCCTGCTCCTACAAATCCTTGTTCAAACGAGTAGCCTTGGGGAGCAGCCCAATGGAAGTCATTGGGACTGCTCAGTTGGTAAGGGTTTACAGTATTGGCTCCAGTTTTGTTGCATATACTGGACCCTGCTTCCTTCAGACTTAATGTAAACTTTAATTAGATTTATTGCAATTTAACAATACCACCCTCCTTGATGTTAGTTGGAGCCCCCTGGCCAGGGCCCCTGCATCACTGACTTATATCACACTTACAAATATGCTTTTGCTTTGCCTTGATGAAAACCCAGACTGCTTATTGTGTGCACAATGTTTATTCTTTAGTCAGTAAATCCAAGTGTGTGTGTGGAGTTTATGTATACATAACATATATTTGTATTCTCTACACTCGATAGTTTGTCAAAGTGCCCTGCGTGGTGAATAATAATCCTGCCTGTCTACTTGAAAGAGAAATCCTATTATAATGGACAAAGGTTGTTAATTAGATCATACCCATGTTGCTGGGAGGTAACTCTTGCATGTCTAGTGTCCATAGTCGTTCTCTTGTTCTAAATGCAAATAACAAGAGAGCACTTCTCGGGCTCGTGATTAGTATTCTGTTGTTGTGCATCACTCTCTTTGAACAGATTTTGGCTTTATGCCATTCTGTGTTGTTGGAGAACACAGAAAACATGTGTTGAGTGTCACAGGAACACGTCGAGCTGCTTCAGAGTTGTGCTAAATGATAGGTTTTGTAAAGAGTTGTGTTAAAATCTTCTTTGTGCTCTTGTGCATTTCTTTCTTTTTCTAAAGCCTGTGGTGTTATGAAGTGTCCCTGCCACAATCAGTCCTGGTCCAACTCTCAATAAAATCAGTGGTAAGGCTTCAATGGGGTTTGGATCAGGCCTTTAGTTAGCGCAAACGGAGAGAGATTTTTGCATGAGTCAGATTTTTTTAGTATCTTTTTTTTATTTTTGGCTGGGCACAATAGCAAAAAGTAATAATAGTATGAGGAACAAGTCTGTTCCTGATCCCCTGTTTCCATTTGCTTTTCCCACTGCACTGTGCCCTTCTGATCTCTGTGCTGTGTGTCTGCTCCGGGAATCTAGAATTACTGCTCTTAAATGTTTATGGCTGCTAAGTCAGACCCTGCATTTTTTCCTTTTGCAGAAGCTGCCTTATGTGTATAGAGCCTGCAATCAGCACCAAACACCTGCACTACCAGAGTTTCCAGCTCTTCGGCTTTGACTTCATGGTAGATGAGGAACTGAAGGTCTGGCTAATCGAAGTCAATGGGGCCCCTGCCTGTGCACAGTGAGCATCCTCGTCCTGTAATAAAATGGTAGCTCCCGTGTACCGACGGCACGGCACACCTGATCTCTTGTTGCTGTAGTTCTGAAGAAGGTGTTCGCTTTCCTCTCTGCTTGGTGGAAAGCTATTGTTCCTGAAACTGAGACCAGATACTTGCCTCCAACACGTAGCCTGCTGCTCCCTAAGCTTGGCGGTCTAGGTGACCCTGCTTTAAATACGCCCCAGGAAGAGGCCCCTTGCTGTTCTGTGGGGCTGGAGAGAGCTCCCCCTTGCTGTAGTGCTGCAGTAGTTGTGCCTCTGTGCCAGAAGGCACGTTTCTGCTCAGCTGAATTTCTGTAACTTACGCTATTTCTCAGTAGGAACTTTGTCGTTATCCCTCTCTCCAAGCCCAGCAGCAGCATGGTCAGGGGAGGGACTTACTAGGAGAGGCCCTTCATACCGGTGGCTTTTCCACAGCAGTAGTGTGGGCCAGTCCAAAGGCTGAGACACCCACTCCTGGACTTGAGCAGCAGAGCTTTTTTCATATGACAAGTATCTAGCTCCAGTTTCAATCTGTGAATGAAAACTCTATTTGTGAAAATGTAAATGGAACTGAGAAGCGTTTTTGGTTCTTTTTATACCTGTGGGAAACAGGTAGAAATTGTGGAATTGAAGATTAGTGGGGGAAAGGGAATGGGCAGTCATTGGTGATTAAGAGGGGTGTGGCTAGTGGGTGGTACTGACTGTCACTGGATGGTGGAGAGGTTAGTGGATGGAGATGTAAACTGTTCAGGGACTTGGTTTACTAAGAACTGGCCTTGACTTTCAAGTTAGGTCAACATAGATACAGTGTTCAGAGGTGTGAAAAATCTGCACCCCTGAGCACCACAGCTATGCACACCTAGTCCCAGGTGTAGAGACAGGTAGGTCAATGGAAAACTGCCTCTGTTGACCTAGCTACCAATCCTTGTGGGGGTGAAGTTCCCATAGCAACGCAGAAACCCCTTCCATCACTGTAGGAAGCACATACACTGGGGCACTACAGTGGCACAGCTACAATGCCATAGTTGTGCCACTGTAGTGCCCATAGTCTAGATGTGGCCTAAATTTAGGAACTTCTGGAAGGTTGGCAGAGCATCTGATAACCTGGCTTTATATCAAATCTGGCTAGCTTATGCTATTTTTCAGCTTTACCAGCCTTGTGTGTAGTGTGCAGTAGGGGGCTGTTTCTCATTTCAGCTATAACAGGCGTGAAAGCTGCTGGTCAATACTATGAATGCGGTGATTAGAATTTACTGATTTCACGCACTGATACTTGGTATATATCCAACGTAAGAAGTATAATGTTGAAAGAGGTGGTAAGGAAACAATCAATTGAATGAATTGAAATAATGAAAACAGATTATTCTTCTAAAGCAAAACATTAACATTGTCAAGAATTGTGAAGTAGAAGGATAGAAAGAATTTGTGCTCATCTCTAACCATGCAGAAAATCAGTTTCTTCAGACTCTTCAAGAGCAAATGTACCATTGAATGAAACAATGTCTTATTGAAGTGTAAGAGAAGAACGCTGATGAGTATGATCCTGGAAGTGAGACTTTTTTGATGCTGTCACCAAAAGGTAGATGCAGTGATCATTTAAGTCTCTGTCCCAGGCCTTCCAGCAGCTCTTCACTATTGGTTCCGTTCAGGAGCAATTTCTCCTTTTCTGACAGCCAATAAATAGCATAGAGCAATTGATGACTGTGCATTAAAAACAACCTGAAATGTGTATACTTTAACTTGATAAGAAGGCAGGATGCTTCCTTTATGCCAATAACAAAATCACCTTTAGTGGTGCACAACATGAGCACTTTACTTCAGTTCTAACAAATTGAATTCCTTCATTGAGCATGTGCCAGAGGAACATCATGACCAGTTTCAAGGCACTATTTAAGAGGGTCAGCTTCTAGCAAAGACATTGCTCCAGGCCTCCTTAGGTGTGGCAGACACTGCAGAATGGTCTATATCCACTGCAGTGGTCATGAGAACAGTGTCTTGGCTGCAGATGTTGGGCTTTCCGAGAGAAGTTCAGAGTGCCATTGAAGACCTCCCCTTTGACGGTTGTAAGCTCCTTGTGGATTTCACAGATGCTTCTCTACACAATTTAAAGAAGTCGAGAGCCCCACTGAGATCTCTTGGAATTTATAATACTGAAAATAAGAGGAGATTTAATAGGTCTCTATCACAGACCATCTGAACCTCTGGCCAAGAGACCAAGATAATCAATAAAGAAACCTCCGTCAGCTACTATTGCATCTTCCCAGCCATTTACTTCTTCTAAGCAACAGTGCTGATGGCTCAATCAAGAGTCTCAAGCAACCAGTCAATAGGTATTTACAGCTGCAAAGAAAAAAACAAAGAATATTGTGTCCATGTGGGTGAAGGTGCCATCCAAGAAAGCAGGGGGTGAAATATGGGAGAGAAATCTTAGCCATTTGCTTGGACTGAGCATAAAAATATGAGAATTTTCAGAGATGCAGTCATCCTAAACTTCTTATGTACAGTGTGGGCATTCAGCACACTGCTTATACCTCACTGAGAAAGAAGTAAGGCCCACCACAGTTCTAGTGCATGTTGTTGTGGTTCAAAACTTCTTTCACAGCCACCATCATCCTCTTGGTTGGTTGAAAAAAGGAGGATGGATGCAATAGTAGTGGAACAATCAGGAAGATTGTATCTCTATATGTGCATCCAACTCCTAAAAGTGTTGGAACTTGAAAATGAGGAGAACTTTGATGAAAATACAGCTTGGCTTCTGCATCATAAGGGCTCTATAAAGAGGCACTAAACTTACAAAAGCAATTGAGGATGGTTTTGAAAGGACTTGACAGATTACAGGTGGCTGACACTACTGGCATGGTATCCAGGGAAATTTGGTTTGACCTAACTTAACAAAGAACTGCAACCACACAAGGACCAGATTTTAAAATGATTCAGAGAAGCTACAGAATCAGTCATGCTGGCTAAGCAATAGACAGATCTCAAACATAAGGGCATAGGTGGATCCCAGGACAGGAAGAAGTGCTTGAATCATGCTGGTTGGAGTATGATCCTGAGTTCGTTCCTTGTAGCATTTTAAGTTGAAGATCCAGATTTCTACCCCAAATCTGTTTGTGAAGGAGGATTTGCTCCATAGTTCATTGCATCAAAATGGTGGGAAAAACTGTAGAAGCAAAATCACAGATGACAGAACAGTCAGCTTTTCAAGGACCTGAATCAGATCAGCATCAATTGAACGTCTGTTTAATCCTCTGGGACTGGTTTGGTCATAAGTGTAATAGGCTAAGTGCTGGAAAAGCAAACAATTTGGGGGAAATGTATTGGCTTCTACGGAAAGCTGCAAAATTGTTGTGGGCCTACCTAGTAGACTAGGGACAGACTCAATGATTATGTTCTTACATTTTGTTGAATTATAGAATTGGAAGGGGGTTTTTTTGTGTTTTTTTTTTTTGGACAATAGCTGAAGGTTTATATTCAAATAATACACGTGCTTTGGTTTCATTTCATAAAACCTTTCCTGGGTTTTTTCCACTGGTGTTTTTTGTGTGTGAGAGAAATTTCTAAAATTTTGTGATTGACAGGAAGAATCCAATGTTTGTTTAAAAAAAAAAAAAAAAAAAAAAAAAAAACACCTGAGAAACTTGGGTAAAAGGCACTTTTGGGTGACATTCAATTGTCCAAGTAATATAACTACCCCAATATTAAGCAATATATTTTCATGAACAAATCAGCAGCCTCTCTCAGTGGAACAGTGGAGAGGAACAGGTTTAATTTAATGTTGCATAGAGAACTCTATCGCTTCACTCTGCTCCCACTGGTGCTTCTGGAGTGCCTGCCCATTCCCTGTTGTTGGTGCAGCTGTATGCTCTTGACCTTTTGGTCCCAGTGCTCACAAACAAGTGTTGCATGCCAAGATGAGGAAAATCCAATTGTAATCCTTCAAAAGAGCATGCTGCTGATGCAGTGGGCCTGCAAATGCTAGCAGTTGCTCTGTAGGAATGTGGTTTTGAAGAGCAATCTAAAGAATATATGCTCTTCATACTTCAGACAAGACAGTGTATTTCATCCCTACCCTGCCATTCTATGAAAGAGATATAGGGGAGCCTAAATCCATGTAAATGTGGGATTGGTTTCTCATTGGCTATAATAAATATCTCAAATAGACCTGGAAAGTAAATCCTTTGTGTAGAGCTGCATCTCAGATGTTGAAGACAGATCCATGTTGCATCAATGCCTTTGCAAAGGTGTTCAAGAACCAATCACCCTAGTGAAAAGATGCCCCTGTAATGCCAACAACTAGATCTGCCAGGCGTTGGTTGAAGTTGCGCATGTGAGTTTCTGGAAAGAAGTGTAAATATTTTGCATGTGAGGCATGTGGTGGTAGAGGAGCAGACGTGTTGGGCTCCTGACTCCGGAGCTCTCCTTCAGAAACTGCCTGTGATAGGCTGCCCAGCTCTTTGGGTGGCTCCTGGCCGCTGTGGTGGTGACCATGGAGGAAAGCTCACTGAGCCAAACGACAGCCTGTGGCTTTGGGAGTGAATTCCCTGCCGGGGTTCAGAGGCAGCTCAGGAAAGCACACTCCGATGGGAGGTAGGTGCAGATGAGCCTGTTTAGACTCAACACTGTATCAGAGAGGTGTGTTACTCCCAGAGCAGGGAGAGAGAGAAGGAGGTTGGGCTGACAGGGCAGGGAGCTCTGGGGAAACAAGTTCCGTTTATTCAGTGCGTTCTGTCCATGCAGTCTGAGACTCTTTGGCTAGTTGGAGTCAAACTGGCTTAAATTAGAAGCCCTATGATAAAACCCTAGTGAAGAGGGTGATCTGGGTTCAAACATGAACCTCTGGAGAATCTCTCTTGTCATTGCACTCAACTGCAGAACCCTTTCCAAGGAAGTTCATCTTTCCTCTCTGGTTTGAGAGGCCATATCCGGAAAGGAGCAGCACAACTAGGGTTTGGCGGTCAGCCTTTTCACTTGCTTGGGGCTTCTGTTTCTGCAGAGAGCACTGCATAAGGCCCAGCCACAGAGACAGGCTTATAGGAAACGATTCTTGAGAGCTAAGGAAATCAACACAACTAGAGACAACACTGGGCATTCTGCATTAAAACAGAGAACTTGTATTAATATGGCAGCAAGAACCGATGCTATTCAGAAAAGGATGTAGGATGTAGAATTGACACAGAAGCCAAAAGAGTGAGAGAATGTACAGGTGTGGGGTGTGGAACCTTTAATTTAAAAAATGAAATACTTACCCAAAGGCATGTTTTGTGTTTTAATTTACAACCATCAAGATGGCTTAAAAGTGTGGAAGGTTCTCGTCTTCTAGCATTTTTTAAAAACGGGCACCCAGAGGGCTAAGGATCCATTAGAAATGAAAGAGAACACAGAATGCTTGCCAGAAATCCATCTCACATCATGGCTGGGAGAAAGACTCGCACTTTCATAAAATGTCAGATTTGATACAGAAATCATCTACTGAAAGCAGTTCAGGAGAGAGAATCTGGAAGCTTGAAGGTATGCTGAGCCAGTTGCACAGGTGAAAAGACCTTGTTAATTCTGGTTAAGGCCTTGGTAGGAAAAAACATATCAGCCTCTGTTATCTCCAGCCCCGTTACAGTACATCTTCAACAGAAATTGCCTTATTTGTTTTAGGACAGTGACAGTCACCAGGGATGAAGAAAAAAATCTGCATTATTGAAACAGATGAATATTCCATCAACATGACAGTCGTTCGTCAGTCCTTGTATGCAATCTATAAGATCCAGGAATGTCACTCTGTCACCCTGAAGCCTGTTATCTTTGTAGAGTCAGTGTGAAGCGATGGGCACTGCTACAAGCACGGATGAGAGCTCTTCAGAATATAACCAGGTTCAATTGTCACCGGATTTTGCAGTCTATCACTGTCCAATTTTTATGTTCTCAGACACTTTCTGCTTTTTTACACATGTGACTTTACGAATTACACCCATCCAGCAGCCCAGACTTTCAGCTACTAGTATTGTAACTAACTGACACTAGATGTAGTGATAGTGCCACCACATCCTATGTCGGTAAATACAGGAAAGTCTAGAGCTGTCTAACCTGGGCAGTCTTAGCTGTGTAGCTCATGCTAAGTTAAAATACCTTATCAAATATTGATGCTGTTCACTAGACTGAAGTCTCTCTGGTTGTTCTGTCTCACGCTGCCCGACAGATAAGGCTTCTCCTCTCATCAGAAGGTAGGCCTAGTTGAACAAAGTCCATTGTTGCTATGCCAGAGATTAGTTTGTCCCCTTTTTTAAATTTATTTTGTAAAAACAGCAAAACGCTGCTCAGAATATCATTGGTTTTGAGTTTGATGCTTGGAGAAATTGTGTGTGTTTCATAAACTGTGTGTAAGAGAGAGAGAACAATTATACTAGACTGATCTTAGGTTGATTTACTTTTCCATTATTCTCTACCCCCTTTGGAATGAGCCTACCTTGATCTCTGTTGACAGTGCCCCTTGGCTGGTGCTGATAATGTATGTTGATGAATACCAGCTTCATGAAACTTACTGTGACGAAGCACAACTAACTCTGCCAAACAGCTGAAATCCCTGTGCAGTGCCACACCAGCAAACCCCATTTGCTGTTGCATCCTACTGCCCTGTTTCTTTGCAATACTGAGGCATCAGAATTACATGACTGGGATGGGGGGGTGCACCTGCTCTGGACTCTTCCACAAATGTGCTAGGTGTCTTCTGCAGGACTGACATGGTCCCTGAATTGGGGTTTACTTTTGGCAGCAGAGATCGCCACCAAATTGGCTTTACTCTTCTCTGCCCATTTTGTATCAGATGAGGAGACCTGAAAGCACATGACATGGAGCTCTTTTTGCTAGGTTTTCTTACTACTGCAGAATTAGTGGAGTCTACGTATCTCATGATTTAGGGTGGAATTCTGCTCTCAGATAAACATGAGAGAGTCCCACTGGCTTCGATTTGAGCTGCACATCTGTATCTAAGGCCAGGATTAATACCTACCGTAGGTTTGGCAGGAACATTTTCTATTATAAATAGGATTAATTCAGTGTGCTACACAATAATTTGGGTCTCACCTAATTATGAAGATCAGTAGTTTTTTCCCCCCAAAAAAGTCTTGTGCTTCAGTTTAATGTTTCAAATTAAGTCTCTACTGCTTTTGTTCTATAATCTGTTCTGACAGTAAATAAATGTAGAACTACCACTAATGTGATCCTGTAGTCCACTGCAATAGCTACTAGAAGGCATGGATTTACGATTCCATCTTTGCTTAGATGGAGGGAGAAGTATAGTAAAAGGGATGAGCAGCCTCCAGGGTGGTGAGAGAAGAAGTTAGAAGGGAAAGGGGTATTTATACTAATGGCAAGACTGTATAACTGCTGCCGGGAAAACTTGAATGAGGGTAAAGAATGTTCAACGTGTTACTCTTTCCCTGTTAAAATATTTCATTCTGATTTTTCTTTTTTCTTCTAGGAAACTTTATGCAGAACTTTGCCAAGGTATAGTGGATGTAGCCATCTCTAGTGTCTTTCCCCTCAGTGACATAGTGCAAAAGCAGAGCCAGCCATCAATATTTATGAAGCTGTGATGACAACAAGACCATCTTAGCGACACACATGGAAGAGCTGCCATCTATCGATTCTGAGGGAAGGCTGTTGGATCATTGACTTTAGTATCATGCCAAAAAGGAGGAAAGAGAGACAACTTTTGGAAATTCACGAGGAAAATATAAATAAAAGAAGGCTTCGAAGGCGAGTCCAGGATGAGCCAAAGTTGTTCAGACAACTCTGCCTGTGTTTCACCAAACTTTGCTTTGGAAACAGCTCATGTGACTTTAATAACTGAAGCAAATCTCTCTGGGAGAACAGCAAAATAATGTTTAAAAAAAACCCAGGGATACAGTAATATTGTATTATCTCGTCCTTTTCTAAAAAGAAACCTTTTTTCCTTTTTTTTGGTTTTGTTTTTTAATAAGGCAATTTAATGAAGAGTACCATCGATGTGGGTTTCTTGGTTCATCACCTGCTGCAGTTTTAGTGCCTTAGCTCAGTCCTCAATAGGTAACTCCTTTTTGTTCCTGCTCCATTTGTGTAGAGGTGAAAAGCTGTCTTATTTTGTGGGATGTGTAAACGAAACAAAAATGAATTTTAAGTCTGTTTTAAAATCAGCTAGTGAAACACCCACTAACGATATGGCAAAAGTGACACTACTGAGGGTACTGTATCTAGTGCGATGAAGTAGCCTATGGTTGAAGGAGGTTTTATTTACTTGTATCCATTGTCTAATGAGATTTGAATCAGTTGTCCGTCAGTCTGATGCAGTTGGAACCCCTAGAAAACAAATACTGAGCCCCTCTCCCACCGATCTGCAGTTTTTAGGGAGTCTAGGTTGACACTCTTGTTGAGAGCATTGCTGTAACAGAGTCTCTTTCTTGGAAGGCTTGTTCAGAGGGGCATTCAAATGATCTTAGTTCAGCTCTTTTTTCAGCTTTTATGCTTTTAATACCTTCATTTTTGTTAACCAAAAGAACGCCAAGGGACCTTGGCAGCCTCTTTAAGAGCTGCTTATGTACATTTTTTTTAACTCTTCATCTTATTTTAATGGATCCGAGGCTTGAAAATAAAAGCCTTTCAACCCAATCAGTTGTATCCCTTTCAACCCAACCAATTTTCTCTCTCTCCATTGGCCAAACATTGCATTTTTCAGCACGTACGAGTCAGCACCACCAAAACATGGCTGTGCTTTTTACCCCAAGCATCCTCAGTCAGTAGAAATCGGCTTACCTCTTGGGGAAAGCATTTGATGATCAGCTGGTGCTGCTGTAGAACAGCAGGGAAACTCTTGTTGCATATTGCGTTGTTATATTGTGATAACCTTTAAAAAAAAAAATGTTAGGTCAGTGAATGTAGAAACTCACATTTTTTAAGTATAACCTAAATAGTTATGTGAAATCCTGGGAACATTCCCCACATCATAAACAGCCCCTTTAAGTTACAATTTTTAACCTAAATAGGTTGGCTGTGTCTCTTGTAGAACACAGTGGGGTTCCTAGTAGCAAACTGGGTACTATAGATCGTAAGTGTGTTCCGTATTGCAATGCAGTGTGTTGGGAATTTTCAGTAGGAATAGAGAGGTGGAATTTTAAATTTAATCTTAGTGCTTAAGAAGTAATAGTCTGTGTCTGCAAATGACTAATGCTAACAAGATACCCTTTTTTAAGGAAACCAGTAAGATTTCTATAAGCTCTTATGCATTTTCAATACTGAGATGCTGCAGTTCTCCTACATGCATTGCATGTTGCATCCTAGCATATTTTAGTTCTATGATTAGATTTTTTTTCTACATATTTTAAAAGGTCAGTGAAATGAGGCAGCTTCCTAACAAACAAGTGTGCATGACTGAATGAGAAGCAGAATCTGATACGGAAAGGCATGAGAGAATTGTTTAGAAGAAGGATTTCTCTTGTGTGGTGCATGCTCCACACAGGATACTGTTGTGGAACACTGACATCTGCACCTGAATCAAATCCAGCAAGAGTTCTGGCTCTGCTGGTCGGATCAGAACTACGTTCTGTTGTCTCTGACAGTTGCCTTGGGTTGAGAATACTTACATTAATGACGGTGACCCAAGCAAAAGAAAAGTGGCTCCTGCTACAAAAAAAAAAAAAACACCTTTAGGAGGTTCCAAGCTTCTGATTGGCTGAGTTTAATAAGCATTGAGTTAAGTAGTATAATTTTTCCCTCCAGTGACATGTCTGAGCACTCTTACACACTTACTTCGACTTAGGGCTGAGATTTCCCATCTCTGAATTGTTACCAGTGTAGAGCTCTGTGAATGAATGAACCTGTCCTACTTTGCCAAGTCACTGGTGTTCGTAAATCTTGGCTCTATAGCAAAGGGAGAGACAGAAGCATTTCTGGGAGGTGTACGGAACTTTAAATCTCATTGCTAGGGCACACTGGGGGAGTTTCTGTTCCATACCTTAATTATTTCGATCCAGAACAGCTAGATTTGGGGACAGACTCAGCCACTCATCTTAAAAGTTTGTCTATTTGAAACCTTTGGCCAGGTGGCTGTCAGATTGTCCCCCGCGTCACTTCTGCCAAAGGGCTTCATGCTCTTGCTGGCTTCGTTTATTTACAGCAAGTAAATAACTTCAGAACTCTTCACACCATTGCTGCTTCTCTGCAGATCTCTGCAATCTAGCATTGAAGCTGCAGAGGTCGTTCCATTGGTGTGAGTTTTCTGCTGTAACGCCCGTTGAACATCGTCTGTACATCAAGCCAGACTGCAGGTGAGACAGAAAACATCAGTAAAGATTCCTTGGCTGAATAGCATTCTTTCCTTATATCAGCTGGCAAAGAACAGGCCTTATTCTAGGGCTATGTCTACACTACCGCGGTAAGTCGACCTATGCTACGCAACTCCAGCTACGTGAATAATGTAGCTGTAGTCGACGTACCTAAGGTTGACTTACCGTGGGATCTACACTGCATCCCGTTGACTTACCTTACTCTTCTCGTTGGGGGTGGGGGGTGGGAGGTAGAGTGCAGGGGTCGACTGGAGAGCGATCTGCAGTTGATTTGGCGGGTCTTTACTAGACCCGCTAAATCGACTGCCGGTGGGTCGATCTCAGCATAGATCCCTGCCATAGTGTAGACCTGCCCTAGGACTTGTATGGGGATGCCTGAGCTCACTGTCGAGTCCAATTACCTTGCTTGGCAGAGGGGCAGTGTAAGGCCAGGAATTCTGTTTTTCAATAGGAGTAGCCAGGTGATTTGAGTTGGGTTTTCATGGCTGCAGAAAAAGAAGGAAAAATTAACTTGAAGTCTCCGTTACTGGGGTGGCCAGGAAGCCCATGAGGGGGACAGACAGGGTTTGTACTGAAATGAACCCACAGAAAGCCTCAGTGGGGGATGTTGGATAATCCTAACTCATGTGACTACAAGCCTAATAAGGACTCGGGCTCTATCATTAAAACATCAGTGAATATTTGAAATGTATGCCCCCATTAGTGTAATTTGTCATGGATTCCCAGGTACTGGAGTTATATATAAGGCTGTCAAAATCCAGTGGCCAGAAGATTGCCACCATCACATAAGTGTGCAGCTGCTGTGCAAACTTCTCTTAAGCAATAAGTGTGAAATGAGCTCAAGTGTTGTATATAAATATTTGTGAAAATTTGATGGGAGATGTAATGTGCATTTGAACTATCAAGTGGTTGAAATATTGTATTCCAGAAGTTGACAAGGAAGACGGCTCTAACTGTGTGTACAGTGAGCTCACGTGTGTGTGGGGGGGGTAGAAGTTCCAAAAGTGGATGTCTAAATTAGGGTCCTATGTCCATGTAGAGGCACCTAAATAAGGGGCCTGATTTTTCAATGGAGCTCAGCTCCCAGTAGCTCTCACTGAGTTCATGAAGAAGCAAAAAAAAAGGCACAAGTCCAAATTTTAAAAAGTTCTTTTTAGGTCACCTTTTATTTCCACTTCACTGATCGCAGTAGTAGCTAGAGAGTGAAGTGCAAATTAAAAGCCATCTGGCTAATACCAGTCAGTCAAATGAAAATCAAAGGTGACTTCAATTGAAAGTGATGACTTTAAAAACTGGGTTTTTTCCTGATGTGTAGGAAGTGGGCCTGAAACCTGTGGTGAGGTTTGGCTTTGTGCATGTTTTTACCTTTAGAAATAGCAGGAATGTCAGTTTGGTGTTGGAGGATGTGTACTGTGAGCTCTCATTCATCGAAGAGGGAAGGTGGTGTGGACAAAGGCTATGGCTACAGTAGAAAAAAGGTGGGGAGGTGGTAAGCCCATGTTAGATAACCTGTGTTAAAATCCTAGTGCAGACAAAGCAAGTTGGAGCTTTACCACATGTTAGCTGGTCAAAGTAACCCCCAGGTTACCCTCTAGAATTTGCCTGACCAGAATGTATTAAAACCACACACGCTTTGCCTGCACTCAGATTTTAATGTGTTAGCTAACCTGTTTCAACACTCTCATTTTTCCCAGTGAAGACAAGGGCTAACAGATGTCCTTTATCAAGAATGTTTAGCAGACATGGAAGTAAAATAGGTATGAACTAAAAAAGAGTTTAAACGAAAACACTCCCCCCTCTCAGCTTTCACTCTTGGCTCTTGTGATACCATCATTTGACTAGCTGGTTAGCCAGTTAAGACTGGGCTGGAATGTATAAAATAACTTGGGGAAGGGGGAGCTTAAAGGTCTTAGGCCTTTTGCACATCATAAAGAAGTGAAGAAAAGGCACAAGCCCTGAGGCAGTTGACATTTTCTTCCTTTTCAGGTCACCATTAAGAATTAGTAAAGGTTCAGTAGCTGTGTTCCTGTCGGGAACTTGTTTGTATAGGATGTATACACAGAGGAGAACAGCTGCTTAGGGTGAGTCCAGCTCGCTGGGGCAGTAGAACCCTTCTCCAAACATGCTCTTGTAAGCAAGGTGTGTGCTGTGCTCCTAGGGGAGACTGCCAGAGCAAAGCCGCTGGCATAGTGTGAGCGATCCATCACGCTGCAGTGACTCCGGGCAGCCTCCTCCCACCCTGGTTTGATGGTCCCTGGATGAGCCGTGCAATCGGGTAACCGTAATCATGGGATTGTTGTCGTTCAGGTGTGGGAAAGGCAGAGAGAGAGAGAGAGAGCTTACTTGCTGTCAGGATGTGCAGCTTCACTGGGGTTACCTGCTGAGCAGCTAGTGACTGTCCTCTGTGCCCATTATTTTACAGTGGGAGGAAAGCAGCACAGACTCCCCTGCTGTCTAGCTACCTGACAGAGCCATCCCAGTGCAGTTAGCTGGGATGAGATTGGGATAATCTTAATCCTTGACAGCCCCAGTGTTTGTTCGTTCAGTTGATCTCTCCCATACAGCTCCCCCCTGTCCCCACAAATGAAGAACCACTCCCCCTCGTTATACAGTAATGGCCCAGTACTGCATTTACAGTGGCACTGTATGGCAGTGTTCTGGACCATTTCGGTATCCGTCTGTAGTCCTGTCATTGATAGGTACTGGGTGATGACTCGCTCCATAGTTTACGTTCTCACTGCACGGATTCCCTGTCTTGGAAAGATGACCTGTTGATATTATTTGATGGTATTGTCAAACTTCAGTCTATCAGCCCATCTCACCGTGAACATTACCGTTGACTTTGTCCTGTTTTCAAGTTGAGGCTCCTTAGATTTCTTGAGTCTAGGAGGAAATAAAAGTTGGAACATACGTTGCAGTGTATGTAATGCCCTGCCACCCTAGAGCACCTGCTTGCTGCCTTTGGGACAAATTCTGTCCCTGTGGAGCCACAGTTAACTCTGGACATCAGAATGGGGAGCCCCGCGTTTACAGTAAAATCTGCACCAACCAGCTTCCTTTTGTTTTAAGCAACCAGTTTAATGTATTCACGTGTAGAGTTTCAGGTACATATTTGTTTGACCTTGAGGTTGGTTATAATAGACCTCCAGTTGATGATCTCTTGCATCAATCAAAAGTCTTAAACTAAGGCTATGGCTACACTGGCGCTTTACAGCGCTGCAACTTTCTCGCTCAGGGGTGTGAAAAAACACCCCCCTGAGCACAGCAAGTTACAACGCTGTAAAGCGCCAGTGTAAACAGTGCCCCAGTGCTGTAGACTAATCCCCTCGGGGAGGTGGAGTACCTGCGGCGCTGGGAGAGCTCTTTCTCAGCGCTGGCATGCGACCACACTCGCACTTCAAAGCACTGCCGCGGGAGCGCTCCCACGGCACCGCTTTGGAGTTTCGAGTTTAGCCACGGCCTAAGGGGTTTCACTGTATTCCAAACTAACTGAATTCTGTTTAGTGATGATCTGATTATTCACACAATACCTGTTCAACTTTTCTCATCCTTTTTAAAGATGATTATCAGGTTGTCAAATTGCTGGCTTGTTTGCCATATTCTTCAAAAGGCCTTTTCTCAGAATTCTGCAAGGTTCATTAACTGACAATAATACTGGGGGGAGGGGAGGAGGCATTTGTTACAGCAGAAGAGCAGTGTGTAACCGATTTCCCCATCCTTTATACCCTACTTATATTTGAAATAGAAAAATATTTTATATCTTCCATGGTGGTAGTCATTGCCAAGAGAAAACAGCAGAAAGGTAACTGTGGTTTCTAAAATACTGGGTGCTCGCACGAAGGAAATGTATTTTGTCCAACTACCCAAATGTCTTTCTGTAAGGGACTTGTTTTTGATTGAAGAGTTAGAACATTGTATACTTGTAATTTTAAGTTAAGATCATGAACTTTTTAAAAGAAATTGCAAAAATTACATTTTCTATCTTAAGTCCTATAAAAGTTTATTTGAAAAGGCCGTACTTGTTAATGAGCTCTGGAAAGGGATGGGTGCTGCTTTTCAAGCAGATGCATACCATCCTACAGAATGTGATGGGTGTCTAGTCTGATGCATTGTATCCTTTTGTGTCAGTCATGAGAAGGATTTCAGACATGGGCTCTCTGAATAAGGGCCTCATGGAACTGGAATCCTGGAAGTTTTCAGTTTGTCTGTGGCTTGTCTCATACAGGATAGGGGGAAATCCCATTTTAAAATTCATTGTGATTGTGCTACAACTGTAATGTGCTCCCAGTCCATTTCAGAGGCTGACCACAACAGCCAAACAATGATGAAAATGCTGATGCTGTCTAAGAAACCAGCTTAGTTAAGGAGGTCAAACTTCTGTATCGCATTGTAATCAAGCCCCTTCAGGACTGCATGCGTGTGTATGGTCAATGCATTTCTTGTTCTCTAAGCATTGTTCTCTGCTAAGAGGAAAACACTGTGCAATAAGTCAGAGTTAATAATGTTTCATTATCAATGTCAGCTAAAATAATCTGTGGAAAACAATAACGTTGAAAGGATCTGAAACGATCACTGTAGCATACATAAAGAGCTCCTGAAGTTACATCATATAGATCTTTAGTTTGTGTTTTCAAATTACTATCATGATGTGTGTGTATGTATGTGTCTCACAGGATTTGTGAGCCGTGCATGGTTCTCTGACATTTGTATTCAACTCTGTCCTGAATAACAATTAAAGAGAGAGAAGCTTATTACCTGTTGTTGTTTTTTTCTTTGTGAATAACTGTACAAAGAGGCAACCACAGATGGGCAGGGAGTCTAGCTAAGCAAGCTGCTCGCCTTTACATTCATGAAGAAGCTTTTCAAGTCTTCCAAGTGGACATGGTGTTGAGTGGTAAATAGAGGGGAAACACTTCAAAATAGATATGCTCACTAGCAGCTCTACTGCTGCTGGGAAATAGCCTAGCCAAGGGCACAAAGCCTTGAGGGGTGACATTTTCCAAAGCCTCTCAGGGGTGGGTGTGGGGGGGGGAATCCCTCAATCTCTCCTGGTGAAGCTGTGCTGCTCTGTATAAATAAATGGAGCATGGTGAGG